TTCTATGTTCCCAGAGACTCCAAAACCCCTTAATTAAGGAATCCACCTAAAATCATATTAGGGATCCTATTATAATTTAGGGTAGATTCCTGAATTGAAGGGTTTTTGGAGTCTCTGGGTTTGTTGAGCGTTGCGACTCTCACTCTCGCACGCAGCAGGCCACGATCCTCACAAGTCCGAGGGTTTCAGGTTTTTTTTTGACACTCACACTCGGACAAGCCTGGCAAGGTCCACCACGATACTGTCTTCAAGATGCATTAACAGAGACCTCTAAGCAGGTATCACTTGGAGGTTTCAGGTTTAGGGTTTGAGGGGGAGGTTTGGGGTGGGGTGTAACACGGGGTTTAGGGGCTTGGGTTTTTTGTTTCGAAAAAGGTCTTCTTGAGGTTTCAGCACTCACAACTAGGCACAGACAGGCGAGATTGAGGTGGGGAGGCGTCGGGGTTATTTAGGGAAGTCTTTCTGGGCTTTGTAGCTCAGGGGCTCGGACTTAGGGATTTAGGCGTTCAAGCATTAGGGGGTAGGAGCACTTGGGGCACTTTTGAGGGTTTTGGGGTCCCTTGGGGCTTGGAGGGTCGAGGTTCTGACAGGGCATCGCTGAGTGCTTCGACTCAAGCTGCTTAGGGTTTAGGGTTTAGGGTTTAGGGTCTTGGGAATGTCGGTGATGCTCGTTCGTTCCTTTTAGCGCGAGGTCCTAAGCCACGGAACCGAAAACTCAAGAATCCGAACCTAAAACCTCCGAGGCCCTGAGCCCTAAACCCAAAAGACATCAAACAAGCCTAAACCAAAAAAAGCGCCATCTACCAGGAGCAGAAAGATTCCTGAGGCTTAAGCCGCTGGGCTTACCTCAACCACCTAGTTCCAATAGTTGACCCTAGCCTCGGACCCTACATGCGAACCATGGTAGTCACCGTGGGCGGCTTCTTGCAAGCTCCGGTGACGCAGCAGCAGGATCAGCAGGAAGCAGGTCATGAACCTGACACAGAGTGTTGAATCATAAGTGGCTCAAGGCACTATTCCCAAAACCCTCAACCCTAAATCCTCAACCCAAAACCCTCAACCCTAAACCCTCAACCCTTGAGTAAATCGTAGTCTGTCGGGCTTGAGGTTTACAGGTGTTTGGATCCGACGGAATACGCGAGGGAGTTGAGAAACGACTCGTGAAGACTCTTGTTTGGATTTAGGGTTTAGGGTTTAGGGTTTAGCCCTGCAGCGTGCACTTTAGTAGCCGTGACATATCATAAGACCCTTTTTTGCCACCGGACTCAAGTCTAGCCATATCATAAATGCCCTATAAACCCTGAACGCAACCCGAAACCCGAAACCTTAGGGAGAACGCCGGCTTGGGGGGTGGGAAGTCACAGAAGTCATCGCAGTCCCTTCTCTGACAATTCCTCAAAGAGCACTCTGCGGTTTATTGGGGTTTACGGACTGAAGGGTTCAGATTTTGGAGCTTAGGGTTTTTAGGGGTTTAGGGCTATCCGGATTTAGGAGTATTGGGTTTAGGGCTGTAGAGCTATAGGGTTTAGGTTTAGAGTTTAGGGTTCAAGGATGCAGGGTTTAGGGATCAGCTCAAAGGCAGCAGCATGCTCACGAGCACATGCGAGCAGTACCGTGGTGTCCCCGGGGCTTCGTTCCATTCTGAACTCTTTCTGTCGAACCCGTACCCCCTAAACCCTTAAACCCCGAACCCCTCGTCCCTGAACCCGAATCCCTAAACCCCCAACCCCTCCCTAAACCCCGAAGCAAGACGTTTCCCAAGTCCGAGACGCCAACAGCATCGCAACTGGGTATGCAATAGTTAGGCTTAGGGTTTATAAGGGTTTGTTGGCTTTGGGTTAACATCATCGCGACTGGATATGCAATAGTTAGCGCGAAGGTACCGAAATCAAAATCCACAGACCCGGCTGATGTCATGAAACTTCGAAGCCTGCATGGCCGACCCAGGGCTTGAGGGCTTCAGGAGTTTAGGGGTTTATAAGGGTTTAGGGCTTTACAAGGGCTTAGGGGTTTATAAGGGTTTAGGGTTTTATAAGGGTTTAGGGCTTTCAGGTTTTGGGTTGTAAGGGGTTGCGGTTTGAGAGTGTTAGGGCTTGGGTTTCTAAGTTCGGGGATTTGTGTGCCCCTGAAGAGGCCAACGAACTGAACTGGGGAGCATGCCTTCGTTTGTAGAAGGCTCCTTCTTATGATTTCGGGTATATTACCCAATTAAGGAAGGCTTCTTATTATGATTTCGGGTATATTGCCCAATTAAGGAAGGCTCCTGATTATGATTTCGGGTATACTACCCAATTCGGGGGGGTCTTGGGCTCTTGGTGAAGCTGCAGGCAAGGCACTCCATTAGGAAAATCGTGGAGGCCTCAGGAATCGCACATGGATTTAGGCTTGGGCGCCTTGTTTTCTGAAGGGGGTTTCAGCGGTTCATGCTCTCACAACTCGGACATGATGTGGTCGGGGTTGGTTTTCAGGATTGGTTCTACCGTTTAGGCTTTAGGAATTCGCCCCAGAGGGCTCCTCTCTTTTCGGACCCTGTAGAGAACCGGTCCTATAGGGTTTAGGGTTTAGGGACCATAATGGCTCGATGATGAACAGCACATACGGAATCGGCGTGGTAATGTCCCATTCCCTTTTCTTCCGGCCCATTGCGGCAGGTGTTCTTCTTGGATTCCATGCATCGCCCTCGTTACTCATCTTTTCATGCCCATGAAGAGGAACATTGCAATCCGAGCTATCATCGCTGCAACATACTTGCACTGACTCTAAATTTCTCGTGCTCGACTGTTCACCACTCTAGATGCTACTGGTATTTCCGATGTTTCGTAAACACGAGTACAAGTCCAAGGACACACACAGATAATTTCACATACATATATTATATATATACACATGTATATATACATACAGACGCGGTCACATAAACACACACACACACACAACGAAAAAACAACAACAACAACCAACAACGTATCCTGGCAGACAGCATCGCTTTCGTGTCTGGGTCCTGGCTGCCTTTGATAGCTTTTTCTCTCTTGCACTGTTCTGATCATGAAACTCGCCGTGCTGATGGTGATGTCGAAGATGACGGAGGCAGTGACGGAACCCGATTCCTAGCGAAAGGTGTCCTGCCTGTTCATGTCAAGCTGAGTCAAGATGGTTGCTTTATATGAATCTATGGTTGCATGTGATTGTTTTGCCAAATGATGTAGATCAGAAGGACAAGGACACAACTGGTGTAGTGTACGAAAGGGTCCCAGTCATAGCTGGACCAGACTGGACCACTGACAAGTGTTCCCTATGATTTTCGCCACAGAGCTGGGTGGTACGAAGGCACCAGTAAAAGAGATGTAAAGAACTGAGTCTTTCGGATTCTTCCAATATCCTCCGATTCCAATCTACCATGTCGGCGCCGAAAAGCCCGAAGCACCTTCACAGATCATACCTCACGAACGCTCATTCCTGAACTCCGGCTGTGCTGCAGCCTCCTTTAAACCTTTGAAGCCTCCATCCTGCAACTCTCTACCCAGCTGTTTGTGCGCAGAGGCGCAGTTGGAATTAACAAAGGGATCTGAATAATTAGTACTTAGTAGCAGTAGTAGTAGTAGTAGCAGTAGTAGTAGTTGTTGTTGTTGTTGTGGTGGAGGTATCCCCCCCTTATTTGGCCTTAGAGTCCCCAAGTCCCCATCGGAATCCGTGAAGGGGATACTGCGCCGCAGGCTGGGCTGTTTTTTTAGTATTGAAGCGCCTCTATATATGATGCAGGGCTGCCACACCTCCCCTCCCCTCCACCCCATGGAATCCTATACTGAGTATAGCTTCTGGGGGCGGATCCAGGGGCTGAAAGCATCGACTCCTCAAGCGTCGCTTGCTTGTCCAGTATCTTGTAGGAACTGAAGGTTCAAGGATTACATAGGGAATATCGTAACCCCGCCCAAAACTGGATAAAAGGATACCTGCTCTGCTGCTGAGTTCAGGGTTTAGGGTGGGGGAACCCTGATCAGAGACTAGAGTAAATAGGTTTTAGAGATGAGGGTTTCGGTGGAGGCCGGGTTTTTAGGGTGTGGGATTAAGGGTCTAGGGCTCGGGGTATGGAGTTTAGAGGCTGCGCGGGGACGAACCTAGAAATTCGGGATGCCTGGCTTATGACGTGCAGACTCGCAGAAAGGGAGGGCTTGGAGGACTCTCTTCCCAGACCTAAAGATTACCAAGGCCTTCCTCGTCGCTGCTACGGGAAAGTTGCTCTGTCTCTTAGGCGCGGACCACGAGGTAAGGCCACTGTGCAATGGCCTGCGGGCTCGGTTCCATACATAATACATCATGCATGTAGATCTAGTACAAAATATCCTTATGCATATACAAGAGTATGCAGAACTCATATAGCTTGTGTAGCTCATTTGTATGCACACAGGTGTATCTGTGCCATTTCCGGGTTGCGGTTTGCAGCTGCATATACTGGGACCTCTGCAACTGAGCCGTTCGGAGGCGCTCAAAAGAAAGTCCTAGGGTTTGGGGGTTCTCGGGGTTCGAATTGCCATGATCTACTACCGGGTTCTTGTGTAGGAGTTTCAATAAAGATAACCGTAATCGAAATCTATAGTAGATCACATCGGTGTCTTTTTCTTGGCAACTTAAGTTAAACTCTTGATGTAGACACTACAGGAACACTTATAGAGTCGGCACTTCAAACATGAACCAGCACCACAAAGTTTGCTTTCGTTTCTGTTGATCGCGGCTTTTGGCCTGCAGATACAGTTGAGGGTGTTAAGGTTTAGTAGGACAGCACAAAAAAGTATAGGGCTCAGGGCTCAATTGAGTTTCGGGGAGCTGCACTGTACCAAAGCGCCGTATACTTGGAGCCGGAGGCAGGATTCACGCTCCATCCACTTCATGGCAGCAACAGGGTTCAGAGCGTAGTTAAGGTAGTGGGGCGCAGGGAAAATCTTGATATCCTCCCAAAATGCTGCATAACATCAAGACCGAGAAGTCTTCAGCCAGATCCTGCCCGAGTATCACCGTATAAAACAGCAACATACCTTAAGCTTAAACCTCGAACAACCTAAACCCCGAGCTCCCCAAACCCTATAACTGCCCCTAAGCTCATGCAACCCCTATATTACGGTTTAGGGTTTAGGGTATAGGCCCTATATAATCGAGACCTCAGTACCCGTGACTTTCCCAGACACACCAGACACCATAAAGCCTATACACCCGAGGCCCCCTACAGTAAAGCCTTGTAACGCTTACAAACCAGAGTTGCCTTTGGATTCGCTGTTCCCTCGACATCATAGACATGGCTCCTGGAACGGCGGGGCAGTATGAAATCTGGTATCTTCTCCTTAAGGACGAAAAGAGCCCTAAAAGGGTTTAAGGTTCAAATACCATATGGGTAGTTCTCTAAATTAGGGTCCCTTTTAGGGGCATGCTTGATAAGGGTGCCGTACTATATTGGGGACCTAAAAAGGGACCCTAATTTAGAGACATACATATAGGATTCATAGTATAAGGGCATAGGGCCTCTACTTTGTAGGGGCTCTTTTCGTCCTTCAGGCTCTAGTCGGGGCTGACATCTGGCTTGAGGGCTGTGGTGTTTTGTTACTTCGTAAAAGGTCCGTGAAAAGGGTTAGGGTTTAGGGTTTATAGGGTTTAGGGTTTAGGGTTTAGGGCCCTTTCAAGGGGTTTTGCAGGGTATCTCGGTTTAGGATCAGCAGGTCGTCTTGACTCCAATTGAGACGTTAAGCCAAAAGACGTAGATCTTTATGCTTAGGCATGTTCAGGCTTCCGAATCGTTCGCAGCCGGCTCTGAACCATGACCTCACTACAAGCAAGCGGACCTATCCAGCTCAGATCCAATGCCTACCTCAATCCTCTCTTCTCAGTCGAATCGCGCAGACAGCCGAACAGTGTCGATGAGGACGCACTGCAGACTTAGTCCTGGCCATGAACCTTGAGGCCTCTGAAGGACCGATAAGTCAAACAAGGGGTGGCGGGGCATCAGACTTCGAAGTGTTCATACCCACAAACCTTGAACCCTGAAGCACATTTTAAACCCGCATGGAACCCCTATAGAACCCTTGTAGAACCCCTTACCAACGATGGGCCCCTATAGAACCATGAAATCAACACCGATACAGATCCCCTATGGAACCCTTATGCTGTAAACCCCTACTTGTTCGAACCCCTACAAATCTCGAACAGAACCCCGCCTAATATTCTAGAGCCCTTCTAGCACACCTAGCGAGATTTGAAATATTGACTGCAGAACTAACCTCCGTAGCATAGAGGCCTGATAGCCCCAAAAAACGTTTTGGAACCCTAATCAGCCAAGAAACGAAGCCATTTATGAATAAAACCCCTATTCTTCGCCCTTGTGCCGCCAAAAATCGGTGCAATGAGCTCTTGTTGGAACAGTCGGTAACCTGGAAAAATTGCGGAGCAAAGGGTCTAGCTTTAGAGCTCATAGGGTTGCAGGTTTGGGATATCTCCGTCTGGTGGTTTTTGATAACGGAAGACTGTATTTTCAACGGCTTTTCAGAGATGTTAGAAGGCTTCGCAATTGTTTAAGGGTTTATGTGGCAGTTTATGAAAATATGGGGCTTCTGAAACCAGGGATACTCTTCTCAGGGATCCTTAGTACGAGGATTGTCTTGTTCAGGGTCTTTGTTAAGGCCTCTCATTTTCTGGCACTCCCACTCCGGAACTTGTCGCACGGCTTGCAGTGTCGCCTCTTGGTTTTAAGAATTATATGGGGGGAATATGAGTTTCATTAGGTTTCAGTTTCCGATGAGCCCCGCCCACTTCTCTGTACTTCTTCATATTGCTGCAGCTTCTGGAGTGGTTAGTAACATGACCCGCTCTCGTCGTTGCCGTCAGCATTGTCGCGTGCGGCTGGCAACAGTCGGGCTGTTTGTTGATTTTACAAATCTTCCCCTAAACCCTAAACCCTAAACCCACTTGTTTGTAGGTTCTTCTTACAAACCCTAATATGGGATTTATAGGGACCCTACAAAAAAGTCGGTTTTGGGTTCTTAAGGTAAACCCGAAACCCTCTTCTGTCACAGGAACCCTATAGCCCAGCCGAGGCTGGCCCTTGGCAGCCTCTGAAATGAGCTCGCAAGCAGGAGCCTCTTAACCCTAAGCCCTCCTTGCTATTGGACCCAACCCTAAAACCCTAAACCTCAAGTCTAGCCAGACTACGATCCCCTAAACCTGAAGGACGCTTAAGCACAATGAAGGAAGATATCCACACAAACCCTAAGGAAGAAGCACCCGACTCCGAAGCGTCACAAGGAGCCGGCCACCCTATGATATGCCCTAAACCCTAAGCTGAATCTCCAAGCCCACAAACCTCCAAGCCTCAAGCACCAAAAAACTCAAAGCCTACGCCCGGAACCGATACGGCTGAGCTATGGCATTCACCAAAAAACGATGGTCGGATGCAGCGCACTAGGGAATCAGCTTTCGGGTGTGGGGAGTGTCCTTAGAGTAAGATAGGGGTACCTCATTGAACAAAGTTGTGTAGGGAATTTGCAGGCTTCGACAAGGTGTGTACTCCTGATTGTAAAGCAACAAGGATCCTAGCTTTTAGAGTTGCCTATGTTGCCAAAATCCCCTTGTCTTGCATCTCAAACCACTTACTGCCTTCCGACTGGAATCGGTGGAACCCACTGTTTTATATTGATATATGGGGCGCAACTTGCCACTACCTCTAAATTCAATGTCATTACGCTCTCGCAACTCGGAAACGAAATAAAATGTCATCAGGGTTTTCAGTTGAGGGCTTTGGCTAGTTTTCCGGATGAGGCTTTGGGTAACTTGCGTCCACCTGGTAATGGCCCTATAACCCTAGACCCTAAACGACACCTAACTTTGAGAACCCCCCGGACTTTTCGACCCAGGAGCTTTGCCACGCGACCATAATCCTTCGCTGCAGTGGGCTTTGTTGGGCTTAGGCTTTAGGGTCTGCAACCAAACCTCTAAGAGCTTATGCGGGCAGAAAATGCTGGTGTAAGTCTCAGGGCAAACTGCGGGCATCAACCTATTGTTTTTCCGGTAGCTCCTCGTCCTGTGATTACTGGTATTCCTCTTGATTTGCTCTGGCTGCGCTAGTTGGTTCCTTTGCTGGTTCTTCGTCGAGAGTGAACTGTGACAGCCGAGCGGCCCTAGAAACACGGCCTGGACACATACTCCAGTCCGCTTGCGCAGCGCCATGGCTGTTGGAAGCGAAGGTCCAGGACCAATGCTGTGAGACTTCAGCAGGAATGCCCTAATCCTGACTCCTGAAGACCTACTGAATTTTCTGCTTATCTGGTGACTCTAAACGCCCCAGAAGGCCCTCTTTTGGAAAGCTGGTGACGGGACTGTCTTTCCGTGCACGAAGGGACAGGCCAGCCGCTCTGCGACCGCGCGACTGAAAGTCGCAGACCCTCCGCTAAGCAAACATCTGCGAGGTGCGCAGTAGCAGCGGAGCACATTTCTGACTGACACCAGGTGTATACACACATCTTTATGCACGTAATGATGCACTTTTATACATGCAGCATCATACTTGTAAATGGGGTGCCAAGCTTCTGCAATGCAAAGGTCGAAGTTCAGAAAGAAAACCGTTCTCGTTGATTCCCCTGCTAAGAACTCCAGTCTACACAAGCTGCTCCCAGACGAAGCCAGAAGCACCCTGCCGCCGTCAAACGAACTCCTGAAATATATAACTCCAAGCTCACAGTTTCCAACGTTAGCCCCGACATCCACCCCAACCGGTAAACCTAATATAGGGGCCTTAATAATTAGAATAGGGATTTGGGGCCCATTATACCACACTTATAATAAGGAGCCCCCCCCCCCCCCAAAAAAAAAAAATAATAAAATAAAAAAAATAAAGCAGGTAATTATTCTGGCCCCTACAACAGGCCCAAACAGAAACGCTGATAATCAACCGCAGCACGGTCAGAGAGAAAAAGAACCGCCTTAGATCCGACCTCTACAGCGGTCTTAAGAGAAACTTTTTGGGTTGCTAGCTATATATATATATATATATATTGATTATGTATATATATATATATGTAATGTATCATATTGCACTTAGCACCTAAACCCCAAACTCTGCACCCTAAACCCTAAACCCTAAACCAGACAAGACCCTTCACAGGTCAACGCGACAGTTGAGCGCTAGAAGTGTGGGTTCTTTTAGTTTTAGTATTTAGGGTTTAGGGTTCAGGGTACGCCTTCATGAGTACTTGGAGGATCGTGGCACTTAGTAGCCAGGGTTATAAAGACGGTAACGAAAGTTATACGCCCATATAACTTATCATCCAAATCAATTAGGACACATATCAACTTATTTACTAAGTCCCATGCCCCTGCAAGTAGCACCACCCCCCTTGCTGTTCCTCAAGGCGCCTCAACCCCAAATCCTAACCCTAAACCCCTGGAATGCCGTACATGTTATGTTTTGGATAACTAACCGGTTACGACCCAAGAAACTACAGCAACCAAACATTTACAATGGCCTAGGTAAGATTGCTAGAGCACCACTACAAGCCTTAAGCCGAGCCCTCAACCCTAAACCTCATGAACCCTAAAACCGAACCTGAAACTCCCAAACCCCTTTAGGCCCTATAAGCCCAAAAAACGGAACCCCAAAGCCCTAAACCCTAAACCCTAAACCCTAAACCCTAAAACGGGAACTCCGAAGTTCGGGGCCCCAGCGCGCCAGGTTTGGAGGGACCTGGAAGAAAACTACCCAGGAGCATCTGCCCGGGATCCCGGCTCTTTTAGGCTTCCCCCAGAGAGCCTGGGGTTTAGGGTTTAGGGTTTAGAGTTTGGGGTTTAGGGTTTAGGGTTTAGAGTTTAGGGTTTAGAGTTTGGGGTTTAGGGTTTAGGGTTTAGGGTTCAGGCCCCGAAGGGCCCCCCAAGGGCCGAGGGTCAATGATAGGGGGAGGGCCTTGAAGGCTTTCGGGCCTGGGAGATTTTGGGATTCGGTGATTTCGGGTTTAGGGACTCAGGCTTCAGGGTTTAGGTTTACGATTTAGGTTTTAATGTTAAAGTTTCCTCTATGGGGTTTCTTAAAGTGACTTGCGAGGGGTTTATGACTGTTTAGGGCTCTTTGAGGGCTAGGGCTGACGGCTGGGGTGGGGGGAGGGGTTGGGGTTTAGGGGTTTAGGGCTTCCATCTTAGAGGCTTGGGTTTTAGGGTTTTGGATTTGGGGCTTACTACGATGCTGATCCGGCTCATGATAAAAGATGCCGGGACGTCTACAGCGGCTGTTGATCCTTGCATCTCTGCATTCGGACAAGACACACGAACACGCGTGGTGAAACCTACCTCCTAGTACAGACCAGACCTTCAATAGTTGGTGTTTAAGTGTCAGTGTTGGTTTGGGCTGTTATCTATATCGATCACTTGTCTATCCAGCGTTCTATCTATCTATGCCTCTATCTGCCAATGAGTAAGCAAATCTAGTCCCACATCCCAAACACAACTGTCTGGTGCTTAGTAGGGAATGTGGGAATGGATCCCTATGATAGTCCTTCAAGGTCCCTTATAGTAGTCCCTATAACCCATTCCCCCATTCCCTACTGAGCACCAGACAGACAACGACTCGATCAGATCGTTATCGTGGGCTTCGCGCTTGCCTTCCTTTCCCTGGCCTGGGAGAGATCCGTGCCTGCCTCAACGACTGGGAGAGTCGCAGATTGAGTTTAGGGTTTAGGGTTTAGGACTTTTTGGGTTTGGGGTGTAGGGTATAGGGTTTAGGGTTTGCATGGTACAGGCAGAGCAGCCTTTTTTGGGGGGGAGTGGGGTGTTATCCCGTGGCGGCATCGGGGTTTCATGTGGGTGTTGTTTGTAATCCCTAAGTAGCTTTTATTGTCTAGAATTGCCGTGAACCACCAGAAAGCCTTTTCCTACTTAAGAGAAGTAGACTCCGGTAGTCCAGAGTGAGGGCGATCTGCGAAGGAAGGTACTGGCCAAGCTGCATAGTGTTCTAAGTTCTGCAGTTGTTATCTGCCAGTGCCTCAGCCTGCAGTGCCTCTCAGCTCTCAGGGAAGCTTATTGGGTTTCCAGGTCTAATAACTTGGGCTAGAGTCGTGGAAGAATTGAGACCGGCGGTTGACCTAGCTGAATGTAGAGCGCTACTTGAGAAATGTTTTCTTCAGGCCGTCACAGCTGGCTACAGCCTCAGCCAACGTTGGCGTAACTAACTTAACGGGCAAGTGGAAAAGAGGTGTCAAAAGAAGAAAACCCTTATAGTACCCCTACAGATCCCTCAAAGGGACCCAAAAGCTCTAGCTTAAAGATAGACGAAAACTCTAAATCCCGAAACCCTAAACCCTAAAGCCTAAACCCTAAATCCCGAAACCCTATATAAACCCTAACTGAGGCATGCCGCCGGCCTGCTTTCAGATGCTGCGCTCGCAAGGCTGCGATGGGTCCGTCCCAGACCCGAGTTTTGGAGCTTTGGGTTTAGGGGTTCTAGGGTTTTGGGGTTTTGGGTTTGGGGGTTCTAGGGGTTTTGGGGTTTTGGGTTTAGGGGTTCTGGGGTTTCAGGGTTTAGTAATTTAGGGTTTTTAGGGTTTTGGGGTGTTGGGTTTAGGGTTCTAGGGTTTTAGGGTTTAGGGGTTCCATGGTTCTAGGGTTTTGGGGTTTGGGTCTTTGGGTCTAGGGTTTAGGATAATCTTAACGATCCTTCATAAGGGATCCCCAAAAATTTTGTTGTTTGGGTTTACAGCTCAGGATAATCTTAACGATCCTTAAAATAAAACCCCATCCCAAAACGAACCCTATAAACCCTATACCCTAAACCCTAAACCCTGAACCTAAAACGAACCCTATCCTAAAACGAACCCTAAACCCTAAACCTTAAACCTTAAACCCTGAACCTAAAACGAACCCCTTCCTATGCCCGGAGTCGTGATCCCCCAAACGGAAGCCTAAAAGTTAAAAAAGTGCGATTCGGCGGCGGCGGCGGTCG